GCATACATTCACACATGCCCAGTGTGAGTTTGAAGCCTCTGGGTTGGGACTTGAACCACAGTTGACTATGTGGGAGTCCAGTGACGTAATTATTACACCATCTGCTGGTCCCTAAATAAGGTAATATTTGTCAAGCACTAAAAATAAAATTTGTCATGCAGTAATTTGTTAGTGTTTATTTATTATTCATGCAAGACCAACTACCACAAAACAAGAAAAATATTGATATAAGACACTTGGTTAGAACATTATATATTAAATATTTTGTGATTTTATCTATGAAATAATTTTCTAGCAAAGAAATACTTAAAAATAAAAAATAAGTGATTTCTTACATGTAATAAAAAATATTTTAAAAAAATGAACATTACATGTAATAGGGAAGCATTAGAGAAATTCACCTAAAGACAAGAGCAAAATAAAGATGCCCTGGACCTTGCTCGGTGGAGCAATACTAATACACTGCTCAAATAATGCTGGATCCATGAGGAAGATCCCGAGTTAACTTCCCTCACTGACCTGTAATGCAGGGCGTGTGCCCGTGATCCTGGCTGACAAGCAAGGCTCAAGGAGATCCAGGAAAAGACCATGATAAGGGTACTTGCCTTTTTCCTGCTCTGTTTCTGTCTCTTGCTCTCTTGAAAGGAATAATATAAACTTTAAAAAATGATGCACATTGTTAACATACATAATGCTATATTATAGAAAAAAAAAGAAAATGAATAGTAGTTTAAAAGGAAAAAGTATTATCTTCAGACAGCTTATGTACTAGGAAAACTCAAAAAGAAATGTGAAAAACACATACCGAACCCCACAGAGATGTGCAATGGTTATAATGTAAATCAGAAATTGGAATTTTAAATTTCTGGATAATATATGATAAGAATTATCTGAACATTTCACTAACAAAGGTAACCAGAATTTTTTTTTTAGAATTACTTCATTTAAGTTTATTTATTTATTTATTTTTAATTTGACCAGAGACGGGGAGAAGGAGGGAGGGAGAGAGAGAGAGAAAGTGAGAAAGCAAGCTGACAGGTCTGGGACTTGAACCACAGTTGTCCATGTGGGAGTCTAGCACCCTTAACCACCAGACTACCTGTGGGCCCTGGTAATCAGAACTGTTACAAATTAACTTCATTCAAATGAACTAAAACTTCAAATGGGACCTATAAAACTTCTACATAAAAATTAAATGAAGAGAAGACTCCTCCATTACGGCTGAGAACTAGTCATTCAGGGAAAAAAGAGAAATGAAGATTTTCTACTGATAAATCAGTCTCCAGCCCCAAAAATAGAGTGGAGAGGCAAGGGGCAGGCCTTCAGAATAAGACTCCTCCTTTATGGTTGAGAACTAGTCATTCAGGGAAAAAAGAGAAATGAAGATTTTCTACTGATAAATCAGCCTCCAGCCCCCAAACTCGAGTGGTAGGGAGCCCCTCTAGCCTTCTCTCTGTCTCTGTCTGTCTCTCTGCCTCTCTTTCTCTGTCTTCTCTTTTTTGGTAATTTTTCCTTTAAAAATTTTTAAGGTATTCTCTTGGCTTTCAGATCCTTCTTGCTAACAATCCCATCTCCCCCTCCCCTCTAGGAGAGGTAAGGGGCAGGCCTTCAGAAGAAGACTCCTCCATTACAGCTGAGATTTAGTCATTTTTTGTGGCATGCAGGCATGCAAGCATGGCACATGATTTTTTATTTTATTTTATTTTTAAATATTTTTGGTTGTTTTTTCCTTCTTTTTCTCTTTCTTTTTTTTTTCCTCTCTCTCAGTCTTCTTATTCTTTTTTTCTTTTTCTCATCACTTTTCTCCCCAATCTCCATTCACTGTGTTTCTACATGGATCTAAGGGCGCCATAGCCAAACATCCAAATATTATTAAGATTAACATATTCCTCAATACCCACTGAATCTGCTGAACAAAAAACGGAATGGCAAAGAGATTCCAGGTCATCTCCTTCTGCACGCTCCTGAAAGCTCAGATTGAAATTCAAGAATTAAGAAGAAACACGCCACCCATCAGATGACTACAAATCACTGCAGAGTCACAAGAAATATGGGAAAGCAAGAAAGTACCTCTCCTCCAAGGGAAAAGAATAACTCGTCTTCATCCACAGACAGTTCAATGGAAATCAGTCTGATAAAAAATTTAGAATATTCATGGTGATGAAGCTAACAGAGATAGAAGAGAAGAGAGACAATGAACTGCAGAAGAGGCAGGAAAAAGGAGCTGATAAGTTCCAGGAGGTGAAGAAATTCTTGCAAGATCTAAAAGAGGAAATACACACTGTAAAAAAAGAATAAAATGGACCTGTTAGAAATGAAGGCCATAATACAGGAAGTCAAAATCTCCCTTGAAAACATTCAAAGCAGACTAGATCATACAGAAAATCGAATCTCAGACTTAGAAGATAGACTTGCTGGCCTAGAAAACTTCACCACGAAGACTGAGAAAATTGCCAAAAAAAAAAAAAAAGAGAATAATGTATGAGAAATACTAGATACCATCCAAACATCCAGATAATTGGCATCCCAGAAGGTGAAGAGATTCATAAGGGCATTGATAATCTATTCCATGAAATACTGCAAGAAAGCTTTCCAAACCTAGAGAGGCACTCAAAGATCCAGTCCCAAGAAGTACAAAGGACCCCAAATAGAATCAACCCAAGAAGATCTTCTCCAAGACACATTATGCCCCAAACCACAGACAAAGACAAGATACTTAGATTGGCAAGAGAAAAATGGCAAGTTACCTACAAAGGATATCTCATCAGGCTAACAGTAGGCCTCTCATAAGAAACAATGTGAATATGGAAATAATGGGAAAATATATTCAAAGTGTTAAGGGAAAAGCAATTTCAATACTGTACCTGGCAAGATTATCCTTCATATGGGAAGAAAAGACAAGAACATTCTCAGATAAACAAAACCTGAAAGAATTTACCAACAGCAGACCAGATCTCCAAGAAGTTCTCAAGGGAGTGCTA